GCCACTTCATGATTTACAAAAGAAAGTAGAGAACATGCATTAATTTATGATGATATCTACTAAGTGTATATAGTATAGTTAAACCTTGGGTTATTTCAAATTGCTCATTATGTCACATATAACTGTACAGTTTCCAAAGTAATCTCTACGTTTAAATATTTGAGTTTCTTTTCTTTGTAAGCAGAATTTTATTTTTCTTAGTGCGATCATCAAAAGATTTTTTAAGGCCCAAATTTGACTAGTTGTTAGTAGTATTTTGGACTGGAGATATGAGGGTTTTAAATATGGTGTTTCCCAACATTATTTCAGCTTTGAGTGCATTATAACTTTTCAGTTACTTGTAGCCACTTCAGACAGAAGAACAAAATTAGGAACAGCTATGTATAGAACCATAGAAAGTCTCAAACCATTTACATGACATTTAAGTAGTGTAACATAGAGCTTACTTTATAACAAGTTAAATGTTTTTGTTTTTCATGGGTATGTATTTATATTTTTGGCAGGCTAACAGTGGTAAAGACACAAATGGATGTCAGTTCTTCATCACGTGTGCTAAGTGTGATTTCCTAGATGGCAAGCATGTTGTTTTTGGTAAGTCACCGAATTAGTGAAATTGGGAAATTAATTTATTTATATAATGTAAATCAGTTGTAACTCTGTACCTCTAATGGTGGTTTCAGACCTACATTTTTATATACATTAGCTATGTGTATTAATTAACATTTTTATCAGTGTTGTTGCATGATGCAATATGTTAATCCAATTTAGCTTTGAATCTTCTTGATATAAAATTATACACCTGCACATTGTAAAAGTGATCATAGTTTAGCCAGGTAACCATTCACATGATCCAAAAGCACATCTTACTCACCAAAACATCATACCATTGCTATGTACAACCTGGGCTTTAACTGGTTGATTACAGAAACGTTTAATAGAATTTTACTGCCAAATGACAATAAGAGAAGTCTTGCATTTCTCATTTGTTATAATCTTGTAAACTTGCAAAATATCTGGTTAAAAGTATTTTTGAACACTTAGTGAACAGATATCCTCAGTCAGTGTCAGGGATCATTACTGTGGCTTCATTTTGAGAAGATTTTTAATCATCGTTGTTGATTCTGGGTAATTTTCTAACTAACACTTAATGAGCCTCTTATTGTTTACTTACTAACCATTTTATGAAAAATAATATATATAATTTTTTCTTGTAACAATAAGCCATATAGTAAAATACAGGAAATCTACAAATAAAAAAAAATGTACAGTATAATTATATAAGATTTACACATAGCTTATAACATGCAACTTTTTTGTCTTTCCATCTTTGATCTGAAGAAATAATTTTCTTCATTTGATGGATTCATCATTGTGTACATAGATTTTTAATACTGTGCTATCCTGTCTCTCTCTCTCTCTTACAGGTCGCATTTTAGATGGCCTCCTAGTAATGAGGAAGATAGAAAATGTACCCACTGGCCCAAATAATAAACCCAAGATTCCAGTCATTATATCATTGTGTGGAGAAATGTAACCCTTTTTTTTGTACAGATTGTTTGTTTTTTTTCTAATAAAGGCATTTTTTTAAACTTCTTTTATTATGTTTTCTTAAGGTAAAGGTTAACAGTACTGTGGATCAAGTGTTCCAGTTCTTTAACCCTTTGTCTTCATTGCATTGTATTTTTAGTTTGAGTCTTTTCTAATTTTCTTCATAAGCAGAACTTCAAGTAATAGCTAAAAAAACAGAAATAATTTCATACACATCACATGTTTGTAGTGGTGAAAAGGAACTAATACCAAAATAGAATAGTTTCAATTAAACCTGCATACATTATAATCTGAGGCATTGATGATTAAGAAGCAATGTACAAACATAAATTTTCAATAGTAAATAATTTCCTATTGTTTGACTTTTTGGTACATCTCACCTTTCGTTCCATGTTGATAAAACCTTATCAGTGATGCTGTCTTCTTTAAACAGAAATACTTAAATATACAATAAAATTTTTAGGTTTATTACTGTAGTAATTTAAACTTAAGAAAGTATTGCTATGGTTTAAAAGCATTTTATTAAAACTTAATCAAAGGAAAAAAAATAGCAGGCAAATAATAACAAATGATCTGAAATCAATGTAATAAGTTAAATGAATACTATTAGTTATTTGTAATCTTTTAATATAATCGACAACCAAAATTCAGAATAACATAAAACTATTATTAATCACTTATATTCAGCCACTACAATTAAGTCAAAATGAATAAAACTAACTGTCTGTAACCTACAGAATAATATTCACTCACAAAAATTAAAAGATAATAAGATTTTGATATGTTTTTTTTTCAAAATTTGAAGAAAAAACAGGGACATTCAATTTTAAAGAAACAAGTAAAAAAATACCAAGAAAAGTCTAAAAATTCATGTACGAGTAACAAAATGGCAAAGCTTAAAAAATGTCAATAATTGGCTGTATAAGTATAAAAAGAAAAAACTTAATAAATTGAGTCTTAGTAGCTGGTAGATCCTCCTCCATTGTTTATAACTTCTGCACCTGTTCCCCATACTGCTTATGACAATTTGGATGACTTCCTGGGGCAGCACAGTCCACTCCAGATTAAGGGCAGTTGCTCTTCCTAACTAGTCCCACAGATGCTCAAATCAGTTTTAGGTCCTGTGGCTTAGCAGGCCAGTCCAGTACCTCTATTCCTTCATCCTCAAGAAATTGCTGCATGATCTTACTGGTACATGAACTTGTCTCTGATAGCACCAGCAGAAGGTCGAACAATGAGTAGCAGAATTTCATCTATGTAATATCTTGCTATTGGGGGTCCTCCATACACCACATGGAGGTGCATGCTGATGCCACCCCCCAAAGGCATCATGAATGATAATGTTACACTTCAATCACTTGAAGTCACACATAACTTCCTCTCATCTGTGAACAGTTCAGGTGACATATTCCTGAGCAAATGCCAGAAGGGGTGTTAGGTGTCTTGGGGTTAATACAGGGTCTGTAACTGGTATCCTGTACCCGAGCCCAGCCTCAGAGCCTGTTCCTGGCCATTGAGCATGATATATGCACTCCAGTAGCTTATTGAAGTTTTTTCCCGCAGGTGCAGTTTCTAAGGGCTAAATTCCACAGATATTGGTCGTATACTGCACCTTCTACGACTCTGGTGTATTCTTCTGTGGCCTGGTATACCACAATTTACTGGCCACAGATTGTGATTGTGACATCTCCGTGACCTGTACCACCTCATTCTGGGTGCCACACTCCTGTAGCAATTGATGGCACTGCAAACTTCAGTTTCAATTTATTGGTTTCTAACAGCTAGCACATTCTTTTCAAAAGGCAATACCAGCAAACAAATTCATAAATCTATAATTATCTCAACAGTAAACATATTTCCTATTCGATCAAAACTAGCCTTTTGCTTTGGAAAATTTGAGCCATTTCTCATAAAAACCTATTATATAAGGAATCTTTTGGTGCATAAACTTTCAAAATCCTAGATAGGATTAGTCTAATCGTCTACAATAAGCATGCCAAATGTAAAAAAATATATATAACATAAAAATATACAAATTTAAAGAAACGTCATTATTCTTAAATTTTTGTGAGTGGTGTATTACCAATTTATATACAGCTTGTATATTTTAATTTGCACAATATAATCCCACTGTTGGTTTCCTCTAATCTTCAACCTTCACAGTTAAATTAATAACCATTTGTAATGTCTTGATAAAACCGCTGATAACTATCTAAACTCAGAAATAAAGTAAAGGTGTCGTAACCCATCTTTTCCGAAATGAAAGAAATTCTATAGATGGCAGCAGTGGTAAAATAAAGAGCATAGGCTGATCAGAAATAAGATTTATTTTAGCATTCATAAACAATTTAATGAAAGTATTGAAGAGAGCAAAAAATGCATATGAAAAGCGGGAAAATTATAAGGTGGTCCTTAGGTTAAGAGAAGATTGAATTTTCCTTACGTCAAAAAAATATGAATGGCCTACTTGTTTCCATTATTTTTTCCCGCATTTTCTTTCACGTCTGTATTGAATTATGATTGTATTACGCTGGACTTCACTCGTTCGTCACACTGGAGGATGGGATTATTCCTTCATTCCACATATTTGAAACACTTCAATACTTTTTTAAAGGCCCGGCATGGCCAGGTGGTTAGGACGCTCGACTCGCAATCTGCGGGTTCGCATCCCCATCCCACCAAACATGCTCGCCCTTTCAGCCGTGGGGACGTTATAATGTGACGGTCAGTCCTACTATTCGTTGGTAAAAGAGTAGCCCAAGAGTTGGCGGTGGGTAGTGATGACTAGGTGCCTTCCCTCTAGTCTTACACTGCTACATTAGGGACGGCTAGCGCAGATAGCCCTCGTGTAGCTTTGCGCGAAATTCAAAACAAACAAACTTTTTTAAGTCTTTCAAACCATTTTAGAATGATTTAAAATGTGACATACTTGACAATTTATTGAAAAATAATACAAAGAAATCATTAAAAAAATAAGTTATTCTTACTTGTACTTTGTTTTTCATTTATTTGGTATTATTTTTAACACTTTAGTACTTTTTGAGTGTTCTTTATATATATTATTGTATTGTTGCGTCATCGAGG